TCCACCTGCTATCTTAATCATCCATTGATTCAGATTCTGAGCAACAGGTCATGGATATCTTTGGGGAGTGAGGCATCATTCTAACTACCACAAGTTGTAATGTTTTCATTTAAAAATTATGATTGATATGTATGTACTGTGAATCTCTACATTTAAGCTCTCTATATTGAGATATGGAAAGAAGACCAGGCAATCTACTTCTGTTAAGATTTATAACACCTCAGAAACCCAATGGGGGTCGCTGTGAGTCAGAATCAACTCAATGGCAGTGAGTTTGTTTTTTTTTTAATTATCAAGATAAGGGTAGGAGGGTGGTGATGACTAGTTGCTTTGAACTCAGCTGTTAGCACCACTGTGATATCTTTAAATCAATCTTGAATTGTCTTTCATATTTGCTTTCTACAAATTAATCAGAAGGCTGGAGGTTCAAACCCACCAGCCACTCCTTGGAAGGAAGACTAGGCAATCTACTTCCATAGTGATACTGCCTTGGAAACCCAAGGAGAAGTCACTATGAGTCGGATCCAACTCAATGGCAGTGGATGTACTACTTGCCTAAAATGGCAATTTGGCTCAAGAATTAAGCCCATAACTTTCTAAAATAAAATGTCATCTCATCAGATTAATTTTGTACATTTTCAAAATTTTATGTCTTAAATTTTGAAGGTTTCTTTATAAATATAAAAAGTTACATAATGAAATAATAATATATTTATATATTATTCCTTAGGTTATTTAGCATCTAATCCAAGATTTGGATCATTGCCTAAAGTTGCACGTAAGTCATAGACATGAAAGGAAAAAAATAGATTTGATGTTGGAAAAAAGATATTTATAGCAACTGGAGGTATGAATCTCCTAAGCTAATTAAACTGCCTGTATCGCCTCTGAAAATTTAGTCTCTGTTTTTGCCACTTTGTATTTCTTACTTTGTTCAACACTTTCCGATACAAAGCTCACCAGCAAGGGTGGGGGCCTTAGACAGTTCTGTTTGAAGCCTGGACTAGGAGGAACTAGCAGGATATACAACCAGATGTCAACAGCAGGGCCTCTGAAGGATAGATCCATTAGTGGTTTTAATTTTCTTCTCTTGGCCAGTCTTTTTGAAATATGTTTTACAGTGTTCATAAAAAAATGGGTAATTGTAAAAGTCAGCAACTTTCCGGTAATAAATTTACCATAAACTTGAGGTTTCATCTTTTTCCAGTTGGTATACAAAGTCTTTTAATGTACAGAGAGGATGCATTTCAGTTTACAGTCTGAAACCTTGTTCCTAGCGGGAGCCACAGGGTATAGATTTCTTCCATGCTACACCGTAGGAGGAATCTCTGGGTCATGCAAATGGTTAATGCATTTGGCTGCTAACCTCCAAAAGGTTGGGGGTTCAAGTCTACCCAGAGATCTTCAAAAGAAAGGCCTAGTGACCTACTTCCAAAACTAGCCATCGAAAGTCCTACCAAGCAGAGTGCTATTCTGACACACATAGGGTCACCGTGAGTTGGAATCACCTCGATGGCAACTGGACTGGTCCACCATAGGAAGGTCCCCTCTCCAGGCCCCCCTCTCCCTTGTGACTTCTATTCCCTGAAGTGCCCTGCTCTGGGTCCATAGATGGAATTAAGGGGCTTTCCTACCCAGTGTATAGGAGGCTGCCAATAGCCACAACCCAGACTCCACCTCCTCTCTCCTAACAGGCTCAGCCATTTGGTTACCAGCTGAGGCCCTCAGATTGTCTATCTCTGGGACAGCACCTTTGCTTGCTTCATCCTGACTTCTCTATCCCCAATTCAAATCTGAGGAGATCAGAAAGTCCCCAACTGACAGTCTTGCTTTTTAAGTAAGGAGACTCATTCTCAGTGTTTTTGTTCATTGATTTATCCTGCTTTAAAATTAAAATTAATACTGTTAATAAAAGGAGCTCTGGTAGCATCGTGCCTAAGGTACTTGACTGCTAACCAGAAGGCTGGCGGTTCAAACCCACCAGTCACTCCTCAGAATGAAGGTTGGGCAGTCTACTTCCATAGTGATACTGCCTCGGAAACCCAAGGAGGGGTCGCTATGGGTCAGGTCTGACTCCACGGCAAATAACAACAACAACAATAACTGTTAATAAAAATAAATAAATAATGCTAGAAGAGGATTAATAGAGAAGGTTCTGAACTTTTAAATGATCCGTTTTTCCTAACCTGCTTTTACAGTTGCTGGTATCCTGGGATTTGGACTTGGAAAGGCATCATACATAGGAGTATGCCAGAGTAAATTCCATTCCTTTGAAGATCAGCTCCGTGGGGCTGGTTTTGGTCCAGGGCATAACAGGTTTGTAATCTTTTTTATTGATGGATTATAAATGAAGATAATTATAAAAAATTAAATGAAAGCTCATCCACCATTTATAATATTAAAGTTTTTTAAAATCGATGTTAAAGAAAGCTATTTAACCTTTAAATTTTGAGTTGTTGCCACCCATTTTCAATATGTTATTAATATTTATCTTAATCACCTAATAATTCATTTGCACAATAAGCATTTAATGAGATCTAAAATGTTCAAGGCATTTTGAAAGTCTCTAAACTATACCTTAATTAGCAGACATGGCTCCTACCATCATGAGACTACATGAAATTTAAACAGATTCTTTACTGCAGGACTTCTCAGGCCCTTTCATATGTTCATCTGTACTGTGATTCTCAAAAGTGAATATAAGCAATAAGACTTTGGAGTTAGCAGCCTGACCTCTGCTGATAGACTGCCTGGGTTAGAAACCAGTTCAATCCCGTATTAAACTGTGTGATCTTGGATAAGTTTCTTAAACTCTCTAATCTTTGGCTTTCTCATTGGTATTAAATGATAATCAGAATTGTTTCCATGGGATGTTGTAAAGAATAAAAATGATTATTCATGATACTCAGTAAGTGCTAAGTTAACATTAGCTATTTCAACTACAGTACAAGTATCCCCTGCTTCTCGAAAGTTTACTTTATGCCACTTCACTTTTCTGCCTAAGGCATTTAACTGCTAACCAGAACATTGGTGGTTCAAACCCACCAACCGTTCCACGGAAGAAAGATGGGGCAATCTACTTCTGTAAAGATTTACCACCTCAGAAACCTGATGGGGGTTGCTATAAGTCGGAATAGACTCATGGCAGTGAGTTTGTTTGTTTTTCTATTAAGTGCCTGTTTTCACAATCTGAAGAGGATTTCACTTTTACCAAAAAAAAAGAAAAAAAAGGTGAAAAGTGAAAGTAGCAGTTAGTGTTTGTTTTGCGGGGAGCTGTTAAAAAGGCATCAAGCACCCCAAGCAGCCAAAGACCTGTGTCCTCCAAAGACCTGGTGATGTGCTCCTGAAAAGATTACGCTTTAGAAAACCCTATGGGACAGCTCTACTTTTTCATATGGGGTTAGTGACTTTGAGTCAGAATCGATTTGACAGCACCCCAAAACAACAACATTATAGACTATAGCTGGGGACACAGTTCTCTAAAGACTCCTCATTTGTCACAGTGGATTCCATTTGAGAGTCTGTACATGAAGGAGCTCTGATGGCACAATCATCAAGTGCTCGGCTGCTAACCTAAAGAACAGTAGCTTAAATTCACCAGCAGGTCTGTGAGAGAAAAGACTAGTCAATCTGCTTCCGTAAAGATTACAGCCTATTGTTGTTGTTGTTGTTTGTCGTCAAGTTGGCCCTGACTCATAGCGACCCCTCCTTAGGTTTCCCAGGCAGTATCACTACGGAAGTAGGATTGCCCAACCTTCCTTCCGAGGAGTGGCTGGTGGGTTTGAACCGCCAGCCTTCTGGTGAGCAGTCAAGTGCCTTAGGCACTATGCTACCAGAGCTCCTATGGGGCAGTTCTGCTCTGTCTTACAGGATTACCGTATTGACTCAATGGCACACAACAACAACAATACAATATGAAGAAAACAACAATGGACTCAAAGTCAGGATACTCAAGTTCTTTTATTCATTGTATGGCTTCGGAAAGCTGTGTTCCCTGGGCCTGTAGAGATGGAGAGAACCTTAAACATTGTGTCTTCCTGGTGAGATACAATTTTGATCACCATTAAACTCTGGCCCAGCAAGTTGCAGAGATTTTGAAGGTCACATAGTTTGGAGGAGGTAGAAGAAAACCCGTTGCCGTCAAGTCATTTCAGATTCTTAGCAACCCTGTTGGACAGGGTAAAACCACCCCATAGGTTTTCCAAGGCTGTAATCTTTATGGAAGCAGATTGCCAAATTTTTGTAGTGGGTTTGAACCACTGACCTTTCAGTTAGCAGTCTGTTACTTAACCACTGCACTACCAGTGCTCCTTAGGAGGTAGAAAGGGGACTCTAATCTCAGCCCATTTGTTTTCTAAGCCCATGCTCTTTCCATTATACCATCAAGGCCACTACAAAGTCATTCATTCTATATTTACAGATAGCACAAAATTCAGCCCACCCTTGTAATGTTTTGTTTTCGGGGGAAGCTTGCTGAGGAATAAATGGTCACATGATGCTCATCTGTGTGGAGACAGTGGGGGAAAAAAAAAAAAAACGAGCAAAGGAAAGAAATTTGCTGACTGCTTCCTCTTACTGTTTAATTACATGTGTTTATTTTGCAATTAACCAGAAAAATGATGAACACAAGACTGAAATCTAAATCTACATTTTTCTAACAACAGTCATTGTCTGGCGCTAATATATAAAAGGAGGTGGTTGAAGGAATTTTTTCTGAGGCCCCTTTAAGCTCTGAATTCTGATTCCATTTCAGTTTACCCACTTCTAACCACAGCAGCCCCACTGTAAGCTTCAGAAGTGGGCTTGCATGAGTAGCTGGTAACCAGTTGCTAAGGTCTATGTGAAGAACTATTACCAGAACATCTCAAAAAGCTATTTGGTTTTCTAGTTAAGAGAAAAACAGTGCATTTAATTGAGGTAGAGGAGAGGGGTGAGGATGGGATATCAGGGAAGACTTCTTGGAGGATGTGCTGATGCTTCACTGGAATCTTCAAAGGCCCGGGGGGTTATAACAAGGCTGAAGAAGGAGATTCCAGGCCAGGAGTAGCATGTACAGAGGGGAAATGTTTACTTACTAAAGGAGTCACAAGTAGATCCCATGGCTGGAGCCTAGAGAGCTACTGGGGTGTGGCAGAGGAAAAGCTGGAAGGCCAGGCAGGCAGAGGTCAGTTGCTGAAGGAATTTATACCATGCTAAGAATTTTGACATCATTCTCAAAGCAATGGGGGTGAAATAAGTGATAAAGGAAGGAGAGAGGCGTTCATCACTCCAGCGACTTGCACGAGCAGCTTCTAGTCTTTCTGCCTTCTCTGTAATTCTTCTCACCCAAGTCAGATTGATCATTCTACCATGCAGATCTTATCCCATCACTATCCTGCTCCATTAAAAGCTTTTGGTTGCAAATTCTTCACAGTAGTTGATGCTCAATCAGTGTTTCTGGGTTTGGTTTTGTTTTGTTTTCATTTCAATTTGTTAGATTTTAAGACTTTCATGCTGGGAAGGCCTTGAGGACATTTATTCCATATACGTTAATAATATTTAATGACAAGCCATGCAGTTTCCTTGGTACTGCATTAGAGCCTGAGGAAATTGATATGAACCAAGAATTTGGGAAATGTCATTAAAATATTTCTTTTCATTAAAAAAAAAATGTGTGTGTGCATGTGCATTCATGTAAATGTACAGCCAAACATCAGCCCTTAGTTGTTATTGTTCGTTGCTATCAAGGCAATTCCAACTGGTGGCAAGCCCGTGTGTGCTGAGGAGAACCACTCCACAGGGTTTTCAAAGCTGTGATCTTGCAGCAGTAGATCACCAGGCTTGTCTTCTGAGTTGCCTCTGGGCAGATTCAAACCACCAAGCTTTCTTTTAGTTGTTGAGCGCTCAGCGATTTGCACCACCCGGGGACTTTTTTCAATCCAGAGGCATATAGTTGAATCCTGGATAAATGCAATGTAGTTTATGACGTTTTGTGTTATGAGTAGAAATTATTCAAATATTTAAAGTGTCAACATATTCAACCTCTGTGTAACCCAGATCAGAATAACGACCATCTGTTTCAATGAAGGTCATTGTTAGCTTTTATTTATTTATTTTTTTAATGAAAATCTGGGCGGGTTAAAACCTAGAAACAGCTCCTGTTACCCCTGTAAAAGTTACACTAGTGGACATTAGCAGACACAATGTCTTGAAATAATATTGTGTTGAGACCAGAGCTTCTAGTGTCAACTTACAAACCGTGATCTGTTTTTGTTTCTGTTCCAGGCACTGCCTGCTCACCTGCGAGGAATGCAAAATAAAGCATGGATTAAGTGAGCAGGGAAGTTCACAGCCTTCAGCTTCCTAAAGTTTGTTTTTGAAATTTCTTGAACCTCTGCATTTGTATGCATTTAAAATTTCAAGTGTACTTTGTAGTAACAGATTTATAGTGGCCCAGAAGCATGATTTTCTGACTCACTGCAATGCTTTCTGATGGAAGGCTCTCAATGGAATCTCAGAGCTTTCCATCAGAGCATTACATGTTTTTCTGCTATTGATGAACATGTTGGGAGCTCTTACACACCGAAAAGAAGTTATGTTGCATCCCTACTTGCTTACAGATAAGTAAAAGAATTTTGAGTCTTCTCTGACTAGCCTCCATCCATTCTTTTTTTTTTTTTCTCCCAACATTTTATTTCAATCCATTTTATTTCAATCCATCGGCGTATAGTTAAATCTTGGATAAATGCAATATATTTTATGATTTTTTGTTATGAGTGGAAATTTACATAGTGAAAATTTACACAGCAAATTAGTTTTCCATTCAGTAGTTCATATACAAATTGTTCTGTGACATTGATTATGGTCCCAGCAATATGTCAGCACTCTCCCTATTTCCACTCTGGGTTCCCTGTTTCTTTTCATTTGGTTCCCCTGCCCCTCCCTACCTTCTCATCTTTGCTGTTGGGCAGACGTTGCCGCTTTGGTCTCTTATTATTGATTGTTCTAAGGATCTCATCCCTCCTCAAAACTCTCACTGCCGTCAAGTCGAATCTGACTCATAGCGACCCCTACTTGGGTTTCTGAGGCAGTATCACTATGGAAGTAGATTGCCCAACCTTCCTTCCAAGGAGTGGCTGGTGAGTTTGAACCGCCAGCCTTCTCGTTAGCAGTCAGATGCCTTAGGCACTACACCACCTAGGTGTTGTTTATTGTATTGGAAAGTCTATTATTTGGCTGAAAGGTGGCCTCCAGGAGTGGCTTCAGTTCCATGTTAGAAGGTTGTCTTAGGGCAATAGTCTCAGGGGTTCCTCCAGTCTCTGTCAGACCAGTATGTCTGGTCTTTTTTATGAATTTGAATTTTGTTCTACATTTTTCACCCTCTCTAACCAGGACCTTCTGTTGTGTTCCTAGTCAGAACAGACAGTAGTGTAGCCGGGGGCACCATCTAATTCTAGTCTCAGGTTAAGAGGTTGTGGTTCATATGGGCCATTATTCCTTTGGACTAATTGATTCCTTGAGTCTTTGGTTTTCTTCATTCTCCTTTGCTCCAGACAGGAAAAGACCAATAGTGTCTTTGATAGTCGCTTGCAAGCTTTTAAGACCCCAGATGCTACTCATCATAGTAGGATGTAGAACATTATCTTTATGATCTATGTTGTGCCAGTTAACCTAGATGTTCCCTGAGAGTATGGTTCTTAGATTTCCTGCCCTATAGCACATTCCTGTTGGTTATGTCTAAGAAGTTTCCATAACTGTGTCCCCTATGTGCTCTATTATATATATATGGATATACATGTAACACAAATAGGTATGTAGAAATATCCACAACCATAACTATATATGAATGCATGTATACTCCATACAGCCTCCCATATCTATTTAACATACATCTCTAGCTTTGTATACATTCACAAATTATTGTTTGTTGTTACTGTTGTTGCAGGATTGTGTATATTATAGATTTTACTGTAATTGCCTTTTATTCTTGCATACCTCTCCTCACACTCCTTTGCCTTGGTCACATTGTGCTGACTCTGCCCATATTGTGTATTGTCTTTTCCTTCACCCAAATTAACACATGCCTACTGTCTACATAGTAAGTCTCCTTCTCTCACCCTCTCATTCCTGGTAACCATCAAAGAATGCTTCTTTCTATGTGTAAATTTATTATCTTTCTATGTGTAAATCTGTTTTTGCCTTTTTATGACAGGGGTGTCATACAGTATTTGACCTTTTGTGGTTGACTTATTTCACTCAGCATAATGTCCTCCAGGTTCATCCATGTTATGAGATGTTTCACATATCATCATTATTGTTTATCATTGCATACTATTCCATTATATGTATGTACTACAATTTGTTTATCCATTCATCTATTGATGAACACTTTGGTTGTTTCCATCTTTTTGCTATTGTGAATAATGCTGCAATGAATATGTGTATGCATATGTCTATTTGTGTCATAAATCTTATTCCTCTAGGTGTGGAATTATTGGATCATATGGTATTTCTATTTCTAGCTTTTTAAAGAAGGAGCATACCATTTTCCATAGTGATTGTCCCACCATCCATTCTTTCAGTGTGCATTTTTTTTTATGTTATAAGTTCTCTGATGGAGGACAGGAGTGAATGTTGAGGAGCTTGCGAATGACCCAAAGAAAACTAATGTATATGCAGAAAGAAACACAGAACAAGAGTGTGTTTTATAAGTATGGTAAGTAGTTTCTAAAATATGGGGGGGAGGGGGAATTGCCAAGGAGTTGATTCTGAGCAGGGCTTTAAGTCAGTTTAGTCATAGTTGCTGAAGTGAAATTGAAACAGACCCGAATTTCCAAATTTGGGTGAAGCGGGACCATAACTGGAATGGAAAAATTATGGGTCGAAGCCCTGGAATGGGAGACTTGGAAGAGGCACAATAAGCCTTTTCAGGAGCTTGATGCAGGAGATTGGATTATTGGCAGGACTGTGAAGAGCTATGCACATTCATAACAGTGCAGTTGGCCACCATCTTTGAGTGGGGCACTGTTGCTTCCTACACTACCGGTCAAGAGATTTGGTTGCTATACAACATGCATGCTGCCCTTATTTTCTAAGGGGAGATTAAGTTTCTAGCAGGACATGGACCTGTAATTTTTCCCATATTGGTTATCATGACTGTGGTTGTTGCCATTGTTAGTTGCCATAAAGTTGTCTCCAACTCATAGCAACCTCATGTACAGCAGAATGAAACACTGCCCAGTCCTGTGCCAGCCCCATAATCCTTGCTATACCTGAGCCCATTGTTGCAGCCACAGTGTCAATCCATCTCATTGAGGGCCTTCCCCTCTTTTGTTATCCCTCCACTTTGCCAAACATGATATTCTTCTCCAGGGAATGGTCCCTTCTTACAACATGACCAAAGTAGATGAGACAGAGTTTGGCCATTCTCGCTTCAATAGGTATTTGCAATGAATAAGTCGGTTATCATGACAGTTCATTCATATTTTACAAATTCAGGTCCATTCTAGTTTCATTTCATTGGCCGTGACTGGTCCAGAAATCAAAGCCTTGATTCCAACTCATGATAACCCCATGTGTGTCAGAGTAGAACTGTGCTCCATAAAGTAATGAAAAATATTTCATTTAAAAGAATCACAAAACAAACCATCTGTCTTCCAATGTTCTAGGTGACTTTATGGCTTGTCAGTTTGGTAGAGATTTGTGAATGGCCCATCATCTTTAGGTTACAGGCATAGCTGAAGGGTACATTCTCATGACTGATATTCAAGAACCAGTCATGGCATAGTGCCTAAGGCACTTGACTGCTAACCAGAAGGCTTGTGGTTCAAACCCACCAGCCACTCCTTGGAAGGAAGACTAGGCAATCTACTTCCATAGTGATACTGCCTTGGAAACCCAAGGAGGGGTCACTATGAGTCGGATCTGACTCCATGACAGTGAGTTTGGTTTGGTTTGGTTTAGTTACCTAGGGAGTCCCTAGGTGGTGCAAAGAGTTAATGTGATCGACTGCTAACTGAAAAGTTGGTGGTTCGAGTCTACCCACAGGCACCTCAGAAGAAAGGCCTGGTGATCTACTTCCAAAAAAATCAGCCACTGAAAACCGCATGAAGCACAGTTCTACCCTGACACACATGGGGTCACCTTGAATTAGAATCAACTCGGTGGCAACTGATAATGTGACCTGAAAGAATAAGTACAACTACCCAAACGGTCCCTCTTCCTCCTGCAGAGCAGCTTTTTTCTGGGAGCAGTCACTGGAAAAATCAACTCATGGAATCATACACTCTTAAGGCTTTACATAGCTCAGAGGCAGATAAATGCAATCTATTTTATGATCTAAGAGTTAGTTCTTGACTGTTCCCCTGCCAGGTATATTTTGCATAGAAACAAAACAAAGCAACAACAACAATGACCACAAAAACCTTCCATTTTGGGACCTTTTGCTTTATTGTAGGTTGTCTGAGCCCTTCATACAAACTTGTCTCGTATCTTCTCAGGAAAATGCTTTATATGTGTGTCACCATTTATGTTGTGTGTGTATATGTGTGTGTGTTGGGGGACATTTAGTTAATACATCTTGAGTCTGTGACAAAGAGGTGAAAAGGGAAATTTCATCCAAAGTTAATACCTGATATGAAATACCTATTTAAAAATTAAAAATATTTGGAAGTCAGCATTTTTACATAAGCATTAAGTGTGTGAAATGGAGTGATTTTGAATAAGCTCCTTGTTATATATCTTGTTTTCTCAATCAATAAATTTCTGTTTCTGTAAATCAGAACACAGAGCCAACATCCTAGCTTCTTGGATACAGTTTAAGTCTTGGCTCTGACAGTTAGTAATTGGTTACTATGGATCTCAGCTCTTGGCAAAAATTCAGAATTGGGCACATTTGTTTCTTGCATTCCAGAAAATTATTTCCCAG